GGCAGAGTCACATTCTCCTAAGATAAAATTTCTTAAAATAAACTTAAGGTAACAATGGAATTTCCTTAAACATGAATGAGCACCAGGGCTCAGTAGAAAAATGGACAAGGGCATGAACAGTCTATCTATGGAAAGCTATAGATTGCTTTGGAAAATGTTGAAGATGCCCAGCTTCACTCACAGAAGCACAAATTAAAGCTGTGTTGAGACATTTTCTTCACCCACACAGGACCAATACCCTCTTACAGCGAATGAAATGATGGATTCTCAGGTATTACCCAGGTACTCAGTTTCTAGTCCCCTGGTTCTTTTTAATCCTGTCCCCTTTAATATGGACAATCAAGTGTATTAGATAAGGAAAAGGAGAAAAGGCTCTTTATCCAAAAGAAACCAGTAGAGTTAGAAAACAACCTGGAGAAATATTATACCCCAGACAGGGAGAAGAAAACATTTTCTGAAAAAGGCCAAAAAAAGTTAACGTGAAGAAAAGAATAAGTTTGTAAGTAGGAACAGGATTCTATAAGAAAGGAAAGGAGCTCTTGAAGATAATTTAAATATTTAAGAGAAGTGGGGGGGGGGTGTTAGAAGATAAAACTGAGAAATATTTTGAAAAGTGCAACAAATAGGAAACTGCCAAAGGAGGAGCAAACTGCAAATATAATTGATTAAAACTTTAAAAAAAATCAAAAGTGTTGTGTGTTAAGAGGAATCCAGTGGTAATTGTCTCAATTGTGTATTTCTGTCAAATTCCTAGAAGTGGACTTCAAATGAAAGGGTTAAAAATAAGTTTTGATAGTGCCAAATTGTGCTCTAGAAAAATTTTATCAGTTGATATTTCCATCTACTGCTAGTTGGGTCATATCTCTGCCAATTCTGGTTAAAATTGATAATATCTTCCTAATCTTGAGATATAAGTAATTCATCTCTCTTTCTCTCTCATTGCCAATGCCCTTATTAGGGATTAACCCTGTCATGTGACAAATGTTTTCTCATCAGTTTTTTTTTTTTTTTTTTTTTTTTTGAGTTTCCCCCTTTTTTTTTTTTTTTTTTTTGAGACAGAGTCTAGCTTTCTTGCCTAGGCTAGAGTGAGTGCCGTGGCGTCAGCCTAGCTCACAGCAACCTCAAACTCCTGGGCTCAAGCCATCCTCCTGCCTCAGCCTCCCAAGTAGCTGGGACTACAGGCACAAGCCACCATGCCCGGCTGATTTTTATATATATATATATTAGTTGGCCAATTAATTTCTTTCTATTTTTATGGTAGAGACGGGGTCTCGCTCAGGCTGGTTTTGAACTCCTGACCTTGAGCAATCCACCCGCCTCGGCCTCCCAGAGTGCTAGGATTACAGGCGTGAGCCACCGCGCCCGGCCAGTTCCTCCTCTTTTAAACCAGAATTTTAAAGTTTTTGTGTGATCAGGGTTCAGTCCTTTCATTTGTGGCTTCTAGGCTTTATATCTGATTTAAGATTTTTCTGAAACCAAAATTATAAATATGTTCCCCACTCCATTTCCCATATTTTGTGTCTGTACTGTTATGGTTTTCTTTTCTACATTTAAGTTTTCATCTCTTTGGGCTTTTTTTTGGTAAGGACTTAGAGATTGACTTTATTTTCTGTAATGGCTAACAAGTTGTCCCAACACATCATTTTTTACTATCTTTCCCTTCCTGATATGGAGGGGAAATCAAATTCATTATATATCAAATTTTCATATGTATTTTCATTCATTTCTAGACTATTTTTATGTCTAGATCTCCAGGTCCATGTTATACTATGTTAGTTAATGTAATTTTAGAAGTTTTTTTCATGTATACATCATCTTATTTTCCAATTTATTTTTTATTTATTTATTTTTTTTGAGACAGAGTCTCACTTTGTTGTCCAGGCTAGAGTGAGTGCCGTGGCGTCAGCCTAGCTCACAGCAACCTCAAACTCCTGGGCTCAAGCCATCCTCCTGCCTCAGCCTCCCAAGTAGCTGGGACTACAGGCACAAGCCACCATGCCCGGCTGATTTTTATATATATATATATTAGTTGGCCAATTAATTTCTTTCTATTTTTATGGTAGAGACGGGGTCTCGCTCAGGCTGGTTTTGAACTCCTGACCTTGAGCAATCCGCCCGCCTCGGCCTCCCAAGAGCTAGGATTACAGGCGTGAGCCACAGCGCCCGGCCTTCCAATTTATTTTTATCAACTGTGGGCAAATAGATTTCTAAAAGCCTTATAATGGGTACAATCTACACTATCTGAGTGATGGGCACAGTTATAGTTTTGTCTCAAGAAGTATAAAAGCAATCCATATAACCAAAACATTTGTGCCACTGTAATATTATGAAATAAAAAAAAAGAAAAGAAAAGAAAAAAAGGGCTTAAAAAATATTTGCCTTTGTCTCTCTCACTTGAAAAGTCCAGTACCAATTTTGAATTTCTTTTTTAAACATCAACTTTTTTCTGCCTGGAAGCTTTTTAAGGGTTTTGGTGTTATCTATATCTATGGATATGCCCATCTATATATGTCTCTCCCTTTTCTGTTTTCTTTCTTTCTTTCTTTCTTTCTTTTTTTTTTTTTTGAGACACTCTAGCCTGTGGCCCAGGCTAGAGTGGCGTCAGCCTAGCTCAGAGCAACCTCAAACTCCTGGGCTCAAGCAGTCATTCTGCCTCAGCGTCCCGAGTAGCTGGGACTACACACACGTGCTACCATGCCCGGCTAATTTTTTCTGTATATTTTTAGTTGTCCAACTAATTTCTTTCTATTTTTAGTAGAGATGGGGTCTCACTCTTCCTCATGCTGGTTTCGAACTCCTGACCTTGAGCGATCCGCCTGCCTCAGTTTCCCAGAGTGCTAGGATTACAGGCGTGAGCTGAGGGCCTGGCCCCTTTTCTGTTTACTGTATCCTCTCTGGAACTTCGGTTAATGGGATGTTAGTCTTGTTGAGCAATGTGGGAAGGTCATTGTAAGCCATGTGGAGAGAGCAGTAGGAGGTGAGGTGGGACAGCTGAAGGGGAGGGAATGTGCCAGGTCCTATAGGCTTGTGAGCCATTGTAAGGATGTCATGGCAGCATTTTTGTTTTGTATTGTTACCAGACTTTAATGAGAATACTTTTAGTTTTCACCTTCCTGGTTTAATGTATCATGGGTGTATAAAATCTTCATAAAGATACACACATAAATACAGCTTAATATATATTTTGTGCTATATCTTAAAAATATTGGTACTACATTTACCTTTATTTTACTGGGATTCGACAATAACGATGAATGCTTTTTTCCCTTTCAACATTAATATCATGTTGGATCAAGAGATTGAACCTCTCTTGAATTTTGGAAGACTGACACCTCTTAAGTTTATTATTGGGTTATGTTTACTAATATTTTATTTTAGAAAGGCCTATAGCATAAATGTTAAGTACCTCATCTCTGGACCTTTATTGTATGAATTCAGACCTAAGCTCCTCTTATCTAAAACTTCTCTCTTTCCTCAGCTGTCAAGTGGAGATAATAATAAGCTCATAGGGAGTGATAATCAAGGAACTAGCACCAACATTGTACAGGTTGTTAAAATGCTTGCTCCCTTCTTTGTGGTCTAACCATGAAAGGGGTAATGTGTGGCACAAAAAGGGGACTGTGCTACAGCAGAGCCTAGCTATGGCATCTTTCAGATTGGTTGGTGACTGTTCTATATATGCTTTTAAATATTTTGACCTTCAGCTCATGAAGTTTTTTATTTTTTTGAGACATGGTCTTGCTCTGTTACCCTGGTTAGAAGAGTGGGTCATCATAGCTCCCTTCAAGGGGGAACTCCTGGGCTCCAGCGATTCTCCTGCCTCAGCCTCTTGAGTAGCTTGGGACTACTGGCACATGCCACTGTGCCCTGCCCAAAGGTTTTTATATAGGGAGTTTTGGTAATTGTTGTTTTCTAGATAATCTGTATTGATTTTGATTTCCATCTTTAAATGGAATAATTTAAGAAGTATTAATGTAAATCATCAAGTTTGCAGCATTTGCTTCATTGTGAGATTGTGGCCTAGACTATTTCTCCTTGAATTTTTGAGGTGTTAATGGCTTAAATAGATGATTAGTTTTTATAACTGTTCCATAGATACTTGATTTTATTTCATCATATTTTCAGCCATTTTATCATTTGTCTATTTGATCTTTCAGGATTGAAGTAGTGATTGCCTTATATTATTCTTATAACTGCCCAAACGCTTTTCTTCTATTTCTTTCTTTTTTTTTTTTTTTTATTGAGACAGAGTCTCGCTTTGTTGTCCAGGCTAGAGTGAGTGCCGTGGCGTCAGCCTAGCTCACAGCGACCTCAAACTCCTGGGCTCAAGCGATCCTCCTGCCTCAGCCTCCCAAGTAGCTGGGACTACAGGCATGCGCCACCAAGCCTGGCTAATTTTTTCTATATATGTTAGTTGGCCAATTAATTTCTTTCTATTTATAGTAGAGACAGAGTCTCGCTCTTGCTCAGGCTGGCTTCGAATTCCTGACCTCGAGCAATCCTCCCGCCTCGGCCTCCCAGTGTGCTAGGATTACAGGCATGAGCACCGCTCCCGGCCTTCTTCTATTTCTTTAAAGTTTTTGCTCCAGCTATATATTACGAAGATTTTGGTGTATATAGTTTTATAAACATTATATCTTTATAGATTGTAATCTTGATCATTGTAGAAAGTGACCTTCTTTTTGCGTTCTTTAATGTTCTTTCACATTGAATTCACCTGGTTTTAAAAAAGGTTGTTTATACTTGCTAGGTATACTTTTGTCTAACCTTTGCTTTTAACTTCTCCAAGATTCTATTTTAGGTTTGTCTCTTGTAGACCCCATGTAGTTGGATCAAGGTTAGTCTTTTTGGACCCAATTTGAGATGCTTTTAATCATTTACATTGATATTATATATTTGGTTTGCTAATATAATATTAGTCATTTTTGTTGCCTCATTTTTGCTTGGTTTTCTTTTTAAACTACATGGTTTGTTTTATTTGCTCTCCCTTTTCTTATTTTGGAAGTTATATACTGTATTTCTTTGTAACTAAGGTACCATTGATTGTTGTATGCTTCATTATTTTGTGTACCACTAATGGTTAAACACCGTCAAAGAAACTGACACATCAATTGTAATATGCATGCAGATTTCAGATATACTAAAATGTGAAAAAAAATGCATATTAGAATAGATGAAATATGATAGTTTGTAGTTCTATGATGATTATAAAGCTGTAGCTTTAATATATTTAAATCTATTGTTTATCAAATTTTTCAGAAATGGTTGTTTGAATGCTATATTCTCAGAGTTCTTAGGTTTGAAAATATCTGTTAGTGGCTTTCATAAAGGAAATATTTTGGCTGGTTTCAAATATCTGAGCTACATCTTCCTTTCCCTTAATACCCAGTAGACATTATTCCATTATCTTCTGGCATCTAGGGTTACTCTACAGGAGTCTGGGGGCCAGCCTGACTGTTTTTCTCCCTTTGTAGGTGACCTACTTCTGCCTGGGTATTGGTAGAATTCTTTCTTTATCCTTGAAGTTCAGTAACTTCATCAGGATATATCTCAGTCTTGGTGTGATTCTCTATTACATATTCCTGTTACATGGTAAGCCATTTCAAACTGCATTCAGGATTATTTCTTATATATATTTTAATATGCTTTCATTTTTATTTTTCTTTCTTTAAAAAGCATCAGTTTTATGATTGTTTATCTTCATTTCCTGTCTTCCATTTCATTATTTTTCTAAATGCTTCCTTTGTTCTTTTTTGTTGTGCTTTATGTAATTTTCTTGAGATTATCTTCCATTTCATAAATTTGTTTTCAATATTAAGTCTACACTTCCTACATATAATATGGTTTTTATTTTGCCAGTGGTTTCAGTATTTCATTCAGTTTTATTTATTTATGTCTGTGAGCTGCCCTTTCAACTTGTCTCATTTATTTCCCTCTTTTAAAAAAAAGCCTTTACTTGTGGTGAAAACAGGTAAAACCACATTATTTTTGAGAAGATGAATTAAGATCAGTTGCAGAGCAGCTAATACCAAAATTTAGTCTCCATGAACACAAAACAAATGACTAGTAAAATGGTTTTATCAATCATGTTGTTAGATGTTGTGTTTTATTATTGGGGTGAGATGCAGAAAAGTCATTGTTCATTGCAGGCTTATAGGTATTTCTTTTTGTAGTTGGATAAACTTCTTTTGTACACAGTAGAAATATGTTTTTGCCATGGGTGCTTTTGTATTGAAGGAGAAGTGTTCAATGACTTTTTCCCTGTTAATCATTGAAAAGCTACTGTAGATTTTTTCATTCAATGAGTTATGATGTAGACTAGATAAAAATTTATTGAAACGATGGCTGACACATGCTCTGTCATCTCTGTGTGCCACAATAAAATACCTGCTATGTGATTTTTCTCTTGAATGCTAATTCATTCTTTTTTTGTTTGTTTTGAGATGGAGTCTCAGTCTGTCACCTGGGCTAGAGTGCCATGGTGTCAGCCTAGCTCACAGCAACCTCAAACTCCTGGGCTCAAGCGATCCTGAGTAGCTGGGACTACAGGCACTTGCCATCATGCCCTGCTAGTTTTTTCTATTTTTAGTAGAGATTTGGGTCTTGCTCTTTCTCGGGCTGGTCTTGAACTGCTGACCTCAAGTGATCCTCCTGCCTTGGCCTCCTAGGGTGCTAGGATTACAGACATGAGCCACCATGCCCGTCTGTCTCGCACATTTAAAGTATGCCAGCAACTTAGTATTGTGCATGGCCAGAATTTGCAGTTTCAGAGTGTAAATTGTAGCTTATCCTCATCAATTAAAATTGTTATCCTTATTTCTTGAGGATTCCAAATTATTGTGCTTGATTGCACTGCTTTCTAAGATGGTATACATTTTTAACTCATTCATTCATTCAGTAAATATTTACTGCCAAAGACTGTAACAGGCCATGGGGCTACATCAGTACACAAACAAAAATCCATATGCTATTAGAACTTGAATTCTACTTAGGATAGGGGGGATAAGAATTAATAGACAGTTGTAGAATGCTATTGGAAAATAAAGGATATAAAATAAGGGTGTGTTAGGGTATAGGGGTTATAATTTAAAATAGGGTGACATTTGACCAAAGAATCAAGTTAGGTGAGGAAGTGAATCATGCAGAGGGTATAGCACAAAGTCCTGAAGTCAGATAGACTTGAATGTTGGAGGAAGAGGACAGACAGGGAGAAATTAGTGGAGGCCCAGAGATAGAAGATTGAAGAGAGATGCTGGTTTATTCTGAGGAGACTTGCAGGCCACCGCCAGGCCATTACTCTGGGTAAAAAATGGGAAGCCTTTGGGTAGTAACAAGACCCAAATTCACATTTTTTCAGGATCACTTCTGACTGCTAGGTTGAGAATAGATACAGCAAGGAACGTATTTTACATAGAACCCTGGTGTGCGTGTACATGGCCACACATACACACGCTTAAGGGAAACATTTATAGCTGAAATGAAAGCTCTAAGAACAATACTCATATTTTATTTTTCTTTTCAGTTGGGAAACAAATGCTGGTTGTATCTCATAGATTTTTTTTCATGACTGCATAAGTTATAGTTGAAAAATATTACTGTAGCCTCTGACATAGTGGGAAAGAAGTAAAATTCAGGGCTATATAGTAAAAGGAAAATGAACAAAGTGTAAAATAAAGAATAAAATCAAAAATCAATATTACATATACACTTAGTTTAAAAAAACAAATAATCAAATACCAAAAATTCCAGAGGCCTAATAATGAAGAGCCCTACTTCCCAGGGGCAACTGCTTTTAAAAACATTTTCAGTTCAGATCTCCTGGGGGCTTAACTCCATGCTTCTAAATAATATGCTTATAGTGTTCATTTTTTGGTTTATCAACTTTAGACATTGTCTGTTGACTTCTTGCTATGACAGATGTTTTCAGTCCCACTTCTCACTACTGACCTTCCTCGCACGACGGTCACTGAATTGGCGCCTCTCTGGGGTTCTGCCCAGAAGATTAGCCTTCCTTCTTCGCCACAGCCCCTCTGTGAGTATTCCGTGCTTCTGCTCCCTCCGATCTGCTCACTCTGTTCACATTCTTCCATCTGTTTTCATGTTTCAGAACCATGGACGATCCACCTGCTCTTTTCAATAAATACTTTAAATTAAAAAACTATTTTAAGGTGTCTTGAGAAAATTTAAGTTCTTAGGGAGAAAAGATAAACATGCGCTTATAACGGCACCTTGGATTGCAAGACAGATTAGAGGATTAGGCCAGAGTTTTTTCTTGTTGTTATTGTTTTTAAAAATATGTATAGTATGTGTTTTTTAAGAGTCAGTTATATTTATTTTATCTTTTAAAAAGACTGTAAATATTTCCCCATGTCATTAAATCCTTCTCTAAGTATTTTAATAGATGTACAGCATTTTTTCATTTGCTTGTACTATAATATTCTCCACATTTTGACTTTTAGGTTGTTTTTAAATTATAATTTATTTAAATTATAAATAATGCCTTCATAGATTTTTCTGATGAAAAGTTTTATACATAATTTTTTATTTCTTTTAGGATAAATTTATAGGAATGTTCACTTCTTTTTTTTTTTTTTTTTTTTCTTTATTCTTTTCGTCAGAAATGGACTATGAAGAATGTTCACTTCTGAGTCAAAAAAATAAACATTTTTGGGGTTCTTAAATTACTAATTGCCTTCTAGAAAGACTTTGCTTATTTGTATTTCCACAATCTTCATGTTAAAAATGCCGATTTTCACTATGTCTTTAAAACTATCAGGAACTTTTAAAACATGTTTGATTCTGCTAGGTAAAAAAAAAGTTTTATTTAAAAAATTGTCAAGAAAGTTGAACACTTGACAATTTGGAGAGAGAGAGAGAGAGAGAGAGTTGTTTCAAAGGTCAAGAGCACTTCTTTGCCTTTTAATTTTTTATGGCTATTTTGACATAGTAACTTTATTTTTTATCCGATTAATAATTAGGTTTTTTCTCCACTGCCATCTCTGGCTTTAAAAAAAGAAATAAAAAAAAAAAGAAATAAAAAAGAAAATTAATTAATTATATTAAAATAAATTTAAAAAATTAAAAAAAATCATTAGGTTTTTCTATGTTTTCTTCCATTTCTCTAACCCTTAGAATAATGTTTCCCATTCCTAAAATCAGATAAAACTGAAAATTTTGAAGATAACTTTGAATTTGTAGGTGGGGGAGTGTGGAAGAAACTTGATAGTAGTTGCCTTTGGCTTGTGTTTAAAATCCATTATGATCGTTTAGATTTTGGATTGTTGCTGCCTCCAAGTATGACCTATTGACTTGTGCTATCGGTGTTTATTAGACACTTCATGAAAGTACTTTTTAACATGTAAAGCTTTGTAGATACATGAGATACAACTCATTGCTCTGGGTAACCTGGCTAAACTAGTCTTTCCACTCAAAGGGGGTGATACTTAAGCTTTCTCTTTATGAGTCATGGTATGTCACCAGGGAATGCCTTACTATTTGGCATAATTCCATTAGGAACTTAGGATGATGATTGTTTAGCCCTTTTCTGGGGAAAATTAACATTTGGTTTTAGACTAAGAGAACTTTACTGACATTTTAGGCTATTTATAAGTAGCAACATATTATAAATGTTAAAAGCGTACCTTTGAAAAAGCCTAAATGGGAAGGGACTAGGCAGCATAGTTTTAAAAAAAAGTTATATTGGGAGGGGAGAAATTGATTTATTAATTGGTTACAAAAGATAGATCAATATTATTTTGAAGAGATCCCTATTTTCAGTGGTTGTTGAAATCTTTAACCATAAAACTGTTTTGAACGTTTAATGTATTAAAGTCCTTAAATTATGGAAATAGTATCATTTTCTGAGCAGTTGATTAATAGCAGAAAGAAGAATCTCAGTCTTATTTTACCTGAACACAGTTATTTATGGTTTTGGTGTATTTTTTCCTTTAACCTTTTAAATATGCATTTGTTTACCTATCTTGTAATCATCTGTATGTTACCCTACTTAGTAATGTAAACATTTCCTGTTTTACTACACTGTTGTCCCATTGTCTTTATAATGTAGCACATAGTTGGGCTAGTGGCAGTCACATAATTTCTCATTTAGGCTCTTTGTTGAAAAAGTTTTATTTAAATTCCAATTTTCCATGTGTTCAAGTTTCCATAAATTTATAAATAATATCACGGTTGTCTCATGGATTCTTGGTACCTCAAGCAGATAGTGCTCTGTAGCAGGAGCACAGGCATTGATGTAGAGGAGAGGGAGCAGGAAGCAAAGAAGCAGGCATGGCAGCATCCATATATTTACTTTTTATCATCTGTCTCATAGGATGCAGGTCAGTGAATTCAGACTAAAACCTTAGACTTTGCTGTATCTCCTGTTGGGCAAATATTTGTTAATTCATTTGACATTTTAAGAAAAATTTATTTGACATTTTTATTATGTCCATTAAACCACCCGACACAGAGAAGAACTTTTGGGTAGGCATAAGACATTAAAGTGCTTTTGAAGAAAACCTAGTATGTCAGTATTTTGGAGAACATAAAATAATTGAAGTTTGTACATTTACTTAAAAAATTTGTGCCAGTCTGAGCAAGAACGAGACCCCGTCTCTACCAAAAATAGAAAAAATTAGCTGGACATGGTGGCGCATGCCTGTAGTCCCAGCTACTTGGGAGGCTGAGGCAGGAGGCTCGCTGGAGCCCAGGAGTTTGAGGTTGCTGTGAGCTAGGCTGACACCACAGCACTCTAGCCCGGGGCAACACAGTGAGACTCTGTCTCAAAAAAAAAAAATTAATTTGTGAAAAGTATTTCTAGTTTGCTTGTTTTTTACATAAAGTAAGACTAGTCTACCTTCATGTCCTGATTGTAGTTCTGGTTCTCAGCTGGGTGAACCAGAGTAGCCATCATTATTCTAGTCCAGGTTTTTGGTTCCCATTCTATAAAATGATGACTTACAGCTTGCTTCAATTTGATATTCTTTCCACACCTCAGAATTCTGTTTTGGTGATCCATTTATTTTTACTGTCTGTTTCTTTGACAATGAGAATGAGGGTATTGGCTTACTTGCACTGCACGTGGACCAAAATGGGCCTTTCGTCTAGGAGAGAAGTTCTACAGACAGTAAAGGAAAATGGTTTCTGCAGAGGGAAGAGAAGGACAGATCTCTTCTCAAAGGCCACTTGTATTAAGGCAAGTGTGTGTTTGGCTGGTGTGGCTGCTGAGTACTATATATTCAGAAAAATTTCGAGCTCATGATAAGTTACTAATGGTGCCTTCTTTGGGTGTGGGCCATATCAGAGGATTGAAGGGTAATTGATTAAGAACAATGATACAATCAACCTGTACTTCAGAATCTGCCACATAAGGAGGTAGAAAGATGCATAGATTCCATTTGTTGTGTTCCACATTTGTCTATTCAGCTGTGTTTTTGGTTGTGGTGAAATAGAAATTTCAGTACCTTTACATTGTTGTACAACCATCACCATTATCCATTTCCAGAATGTTTTCATTATCCCAAACTCAAACTTTAATGGAAACAATAACTTCTCTGTTCTACCATCACCTCTTCTCACTATTGTACTTGACTTGTTATAACAAACAAAAAAAATAGCCCCTCATTCTTTTTTACCCCCAATCCGTGGTAAACCCCATTCTGTCTCAATGAATTTGACTACTGTTGATAGTGGAATCATACAATATTTGTCCTTTTGTGTCTGGCTTATTTTACTTAGCACAGTGTTTTGAAGGTTCATCCATGTTGTAGAATGTATCGTAATTTCATTTCCTTTTTAACACTGAATAATATTCTGTTGTATGTATGTACATTTTGTTCATCCATTCATCTGTTGATCAGCACTTTGTTTCTGTGTTTTGATTGTTATGAATAATGCTGCTATGAACATAGGTGTACAGATATCTGTTTGAGTCCCTGCTTTTAATTCTCTTAGATATATAATCAGACGTGGAATTGCTGGCTCATATGATAATTCCATGTTTAATATTTTAAGGACATGCCATACTGCCTTTCACAATGGCTGTACCATTTTACATTCCCACCAGCAATGCACAATGGTGCCAATTTCTTGACATCCACTTCAACACCTGTTATTTTCTGTGCTGCTTTGTGTTTAATAATAGCCATTCTAATAGGTTTGAAGTGGTATCTCATTGTGGTTTTGGTTTGTATTTCCCTGATGATTAGTGGTGTTGAGCATCTTTTTATGTGCTTATTAGCCATCTGTTTGCCTTCTTTGGATTTGAGTTTTGCTCTTGTTGAGTTGTATGAGCTCTTTATATATTCTGGGTATTAATCCTATAACAGATATGTGATTTACAAATATTTCCTCTCATTCTGTGGATTGCCTTTGATGCACAGAAGTTTTAGATTTTGATCCAGATTATGTTTCTTCTTTTGTAGCCTATGCTTTTGACATCACATCTAAGAATTGGTTGCCAGATCCAATGTCATGAAGATTTCCCCCTATTTTTTCTGTTTAAAAAATTTTTTTTCTTTAATTACTTTTTCTTTTTATTTATTTATTTTCTTTCATTAACTTCTCACACTGTAAATTTTTTCTTCTAAGAGGTTTATAGTTTAAGCTTTTAAGCATAGGGGTTTGATTAATTTTGAGTTAATTTTTACATATGATGTAAGGTAGGAGTTCAGCTTCATTCTTTTGTTTATGGAAAGACTGTCCTTTCCTTACTGAGTGGTCTGTCTGGTCACCTATGTTGCAAATCACTTGGGCACTGAGGCCATGCATGGGTTTTATTTCAGGGCTCTTATTTTGTTCCATTGGTCTGTTTGTCTGTCTTTGTGCCAATACCCACACTGTTTGATTATTGTAATTTTGTAGTAAGCTTTGAAATCAGGATCATGAGTTCTCTAACTTTGTTCTTTCTTTTTCCAAGAATGTGTTGGATATTTAGGGGGTCCCTTGAGATTCCATATGAATTTTAGGATGGGTTTTCCTACTTCTGCAAAAAAAGAAATTGTTGGAATTTTGATAGGGATTACATTATATTCG